CCCTCAAGGACCCTGCGGAGAGTATAGCGGAATAAAGTATGATGAGCGGAATAAACAATGTTAGAATGTATATCTAATTTAAACTGAATGACAGTAATTTAGTTGCTTTAATCAGACATGAGAAAATGATTACCTCAGCTATGTTCTGTTCTCAGTACACAAAGTCAATGCATCAACTTAAAGAGATTCATGTTTCATTTTCAAAATACTAATTTAAGTTGTGTGAAACCGTCTATGATTCAATTGAATTCATTCAAAGTAACTTTTTTAGTGTGTTTGGTTGAAACAAAACCATGGTCTGGATTGGTACTTTCTAGAAATGAGCTTTCCACCTAATTTCCCCAACATTGATTAGAGATATATGAATCCTCCAGTTTTCCCTAGTATACATTGTGAAATGCGCTTCAAGGATTCATTGAAAAGTGCAGCACAATGTCAAATACTCATGATTTTATCAGGAGTGGCATTTACCTGAGCATCCACCCATGGTTTTGCATGTCCTTCAAAGTGGAAGCAGCGTGAATTATGCCGATGCCAACCATCAGGACAATTTGTTGTAGGGAGGTTTTCCAAAAATCCTGCAGAAAATCCTGATGAATGAAGGAGGGGTGTTAACTTTGGTTTAGCCAACTTAAGTGATTATAATTAGGTGTTATGACAGTTACAACCTTCACAATAGGGAAGCTAAATGTATTCTTTAAAGCCCATATCTGATAACTTTAATTTTAGTCTTAACTTTGCAATATATATATATATACACACACATACCAACATACTGCTCAAAAAAATTAAAGGAACACTTTGAAAACACATCAGATCTCAATGGGAAAAAAATAATGCTGGATATCTATATATGGACTGGGTAATGTTTTAGGAAGGAAACCAGGAGGAACCTGGGACCCACTGCACCAGCGTAGGGTCTGACAATGGGTCCAAGGATTTCATCTCGATAACTAATAGTAGTCAAGGTGCCGTTGTCTAGCCTGTAGAGGTCTGTGCGGATATGCCCCCCCAGACCATCACTGACCCACCACCAAACCAGTCATGCTGAATGTTACAGGCAGCATAACGTTCTCCACGGCTACTCCAGACCCTTTCACATCTGTGGCATATGCTCAGGGTGAACCTGCTCTCATCTGTGAAAAGCACAGGGTGCCAGTGGCAGACCTGCCAGTCCTGGTATTCTATGGCAAATGCCAGTCAAGCACCATGGTACCGGGCAGTGAGCACAGGGTCCACTAGAGGACGTCGGGCCGTCAGGCCACCCTCATGAAGTCTGTTTCTGATTGTTTGGTCAGAGACATTCACACCAGTGGCCTGCTGGAGGGCTCTGGCAGTGTTCATCCTGTTCCTTCTTGCAGATTCTGGAACAGATTCTGGTCTTGCTGATGGGTTAAGGACCTTCTACGGCCCTGTCCAGCTCTCCTAGAGAAGCTGCCTGTCTCCTGGAGTCTCTACCACGCCCTTGAGACTGTGCTGGGAAACACAGCAAACCTTCTGGCAATGGCAGTTATTGATGCACCATCCTGGAGGAGCTGGACTACCTGTGCAACCTCTGTAGGGTTTTTTTTTTTTATTAAAGTGGTTGAATTTTTAATCTTAAACATTACCTGAATATCATGAACATTTTATGTCTTGGGGTTACCAGTGCTTGAAGTGGGAACCAGGTACCAGTACTGAACTTGTTAAACACTACTGGCAGATTGTGAAGAAAAAATAAATAGATGGTGGCAATGCGTTCCAGCGAGTACTGGTCCATTTCAAGCACCAATACCCACCTTCATTAGTCTATTAAAGTATGATAAACTCTTAATGAGAATAAAATATTTCAAGAAGTCCAAAAGTGACTGTTTTGTATCCATAATATTTTTTTTTTGCAAAAGAACATTTCTCAAACAGTTCTTGTTAATATGACAAACAATATAATTCATAATTATATAAATATTCTAACAATACTGCAGTTGTATAGTAAAATCAGTATGTAGTAGTAAACATCTCCAAAAAAGTAAGACTAATCCAATTCATTTTGTAGATGAACATAACTTCATCTGTTTTGTGATGTTTAAATAAAGGTTACCAACCTTTGGAAGGTTCCAGACTTTTAGTTTCATTTTGGAGCACTGAAATGCACAAAAAATATGTTTAACATTCAACAGAAGAAACCATAGCAAATCTTTTTCCATAGTCTTTTAATTGCATATTGTCATGACCTGCTTGTCCGATCCTCCTGTGTGCCACGCCCCCCTCGTTACCTCGTGTTAATTCCCGATTGTGATAACCTGTTGCCTGTTCTTTCCTGCTTGTCTTGAGTATTTAGTCCGCGTCAGAGTTAGTTTCCCGAGGTCTGTCATTAACGTGAGTTTGCCGTGTGTTTCCCAAGTGATCCTGTCTGTCTAAATAAACCCCGTTATGCCAGTACTCACGGCTCCCTTCGCCTGCTTGCCCGATCAGCGACACCCGGTCATCACACATATAATGCACTTTGCCATTATGTTTTACAACTGTGGTAGCAGTCCAATCCATCGTGGAGAACTGGTGTAATTTATTGTTGGGTAATCTAATTTTATCACTTAGCCATAGTCCAACACAGTGGCGGCACATGAAAGAACAGGCGCAGATCTGATGAACTGTATTACATCAGGTCAAGTCACACAAATTGCTGGTATACAGGTGCTCCTCTATTTACGAACTTTCAACTTACAAATTTTCAGACATACATGTACGAATGAAGAGGACCTGTAAGTCCAAATTGTGTTCGTTGGGCTCCCGTTTCCTGACCGCAACATCAAATTTTTGTTCTGTGCGCCAATTCCGCCTAGTAAGAATTCTTGCCGCTACTCATGCCATGCAGCAGTGTTGTGTGCGTACTCCCAGCATCCCAGTTCTTTGTACTTGCATATACCCTTAAAATGATGCTGAATAACGACTTACGAACATTTCAAGTTACGAAGAGCCTTTCAGAACGTAACTCGTTCGTAAGTAGAGGAGTGTCTGTACTTTAAGTATGCAAATTATAATAGAGCCATTAAAAAATACTTTTATTTGTAAATACTGTTCTTGTTGATTGTACCTAATCCTGTGTATATATTGTAAATAAGAATGTTGTATTTATTTGCTAATTTTTTTGTGCAAAAGGAAAATGTCAGTGCAGTCATGCAATTAAGTTTTTTGGGAAATGTGAGGATCAGAGTTGCCACCTGTCCCGACTGCAATCGAGAGAGGTAAGGAGTGCACACTGATACAGTATGTTGCCACACCTACCACACGGACAAGCACCTTGGGAATGAGAAGCTGAGTGCAGCCATGTGGCAGGTGATACCTCAGAACCACACTAGTTTGAATGGAGAAAAACAGTGTGAATTCTTTTCTGATGGCTAGAGTGCCAATCCTGCGACCAACCCCCAAATTTCTCCCTGAAAGTTGGAGAACCTGCTTGCAGGGCTGGATGTAGGTTAATGTCATACTCAGGACAAAGCAGTGCAGATTAAGGGCCTGGCTTAACGGCCCAACAGAACGCTTAAATTCACAGCATTTGAACTACTAACCTTTGAACTACTAACCATAGAGTCTTAGCCTCAGAGCCACCACTCTGCCAACTGCGACTGTCCATATTGGAAAAAAAAACTGTGTCCCATATGGGATGAGTTTTGTCTCATATTTTTGACTGCCTGATTTAATAAAGATTTTTGTTCACTGGTGTCCCAAGACAGTCTTGTAACCCTTGATTATTCCTGCTTGGGTCCAGCTGTGTAAGTTTTGTCTTGTAATCCTTTTTTCCTATGATTCTAGTATCTCCTGGTGTTTCAGAATATAGAGCTGTCACTAATGATAATCTACCAATTAATCTGATGATTCATTGAGTAATCGTTTCTATTCAATATAATATATCCATCCATCCATCCATTAACATCCGCTTATCCGAGGTCGGGTCGTGGGGGCAGTAGTCTCAGCAGGGAAACCCAGACTTCCCTCTCCCCGGCCACTTTCTCCAGCTCCTCTGGGGGAATCCCGAGGCGTTCCCAGGCCAGCCGAGAGACATAGTCCCTCCAGCGTGTCCTGGGTCTTCCCCGGGGCATCCTCCCAGTGGGACATGCCCGGAACACCTCACCAGGGAGGCGTCCAGGAGGCATCCTAAGCAGATACCTGAGCCACCTCATCTGGCTCCTCTCAATGCGGAGGAGCAGCGGCTCTACTCT